GCCATTTTTTCTCACCCGCAATAATTATGGCGTCTTTCTTCCACACGTCCAAGCTAATGATAACAATAATGAAATTTAAAAGGATTATAAAAATCTTTGCCTTTAAATCGTTTATATAACTTCGGCATACCAAATAAAAACAATGCGCTCCCATACAAAAGCTTGTGTTTTACCTGAACACCTTACGCGGGTTGCCCAAATAGACCAATGCAGGTCAAGTTTAGCACAGTAGATTTAAACGTCATATTCTTATATTCAAAGCAGTTTCATTATAAAACTATGAAAATTAGACTTTGTTGTTGTGTAATATCGTTTTTTGTAATAGTGTTTACATGGGAGGGGTTCCAAAAAAAATGTTTGCTACTCCCTAGGCAAATAGCTATAAAACTGAACCGGTTCAATCGATTTTTAATAGACGCTTGGCTCATGGACCAAAACAATTCATTGTATTAGTTTTCGGCAAAATACATTGAAAATAGCGACCTGTACGTAGAAAATAAAAATACGTGGACACGGATAAGGCGCACAAATAGACAGAGTTGCTAAATTTAATGTAGGAATTGATGTCGCATCCTTTGGCCTAATAAAAATCGGAGGCGGCGCGATAACGAAAAGTTCAAGACAAAAATATTTCGACCGAGAGACGGACATGTGTGCTGTAGGTAGAAAGATTTACATTTTTACGTGAAATCCCCTTTTACTTTACGCCCCTTGTGGTAATATTCCTCACATTATTGCTTGTCCCCTATACGTACAAGTGCAATGATCGTGAGAAATGGTTATAGATAGAGAGGGATGGAAAAAGGGAGTAGTGTATGTTTGACTTAAAAGTGAAAGCGTCGGCCACGTTGGGAAGGCCTCTGCTAGAAGGTTGTTTCGGAGGCGGGCAGTGTGATTAAAGAACAATAAGTCGTGGTATAATGCCTTATTATATCAAGGCAATTCTAGGACGAGTGGGTAGGAACGCTGAGAAAACTTTGTGATGCCGGTAAAAGACTTCATTGGCGGAAATATTTCTTGCTCTGAATGTACCTATACATAAGCGCTTCCACAGGCCATATTACGCCGATCCTTGAGAATATTGAGAGTTTTGGACACACTTTCGTCACTGGTGAGCACTTAAGCCTTTCATTGTTTGCGATCGACCTCCTCCAAATAAGTTAGGTAGGCACCCGCTTTTTCGTTTTTTTTCTGCAAGTTTAGGACAACTATTCACTGAAAACTATTTATTGGAGTTTATTTGCAAAAACTACTTTTTATTAGTGTTTAGGCTTATTAACTTTCTGAGGTTAAGTCACAATTATCACATGTCCACTACCAAAGGCTGGGAGTATTACATTAATTTTACCAAAACATTTGCAACGATCAAAAGAAAGCTTCTGGATCACTATAGCATGCCGAGTCGATCTAGATATGTCTGTCCTTCCATTTGTGTTATGGTAAACGTTTTCACGGCTGGAAAAATTATAACATCGGCTTCAGATTTAGCAAAAATAAGGAAAGTGAAGGCGAGCAGTGGCTGGTTAGTGTAAAAGATTCCGCTTATGTCTTATGTGTGCTTTGCTAACACTCTTAAATGCAGGAAATACCGGGGAATTTCATTTAAAATTTTGGCTAGTCGCCAAATACATAAGGTGGCTGGCTACGTTTTATTTCAACATCAAGTAAAGCATCGCAAATCTTTATTTGTTTCTATGTCTGTCCCTTTCCCTCGCATTTAAAACAATTAAAAAGTTTCCATTAAGACTTACTTTAGCAGATATGTGATTTTTGTAATAAAATCATAAAAGACGGATCCGTTTCAAGCGGCTCCAATTCAATGTATTCATAAACATAAGCTACCATAAATAGCGTAACGTATAAAAAGCATGATATACTTTGAGAGATATTTTGAGAATAAATATTTGCTGAAGTAAACAATAAAAGTTGACGGCATCTCGCCAACTTTTCTGCTTTCTTATGTTTAAGATAACTCTTGAAAAAATTGGTAAACATCAACTGTTATTTCACGAAAACAAAGGTCGTCCTAGAAAGTTAGTTACATTTGAGTCGAAATCAAATGTATAAATATTTGTAAGCAAACTTTGAACTTTTATGTGCCCTTGATATATATTTACCCAAAATTTTCCGTAAAGATGTATGCATGTTACGAGCAAACTTCTTCTGTTTGCGCAGTTGTTTTGTGAACTTTAATTGAAAGTGTATGTAATAGGTCTTTATATTCAACTGGTGCGATTTTGTGAATTGTAACACAGGGCTATGAACAGAGCTGTCTTGAAATTTTACGCTGATCAAAAATGATGAATTTTATGAGTTTTCCATTTTCCCAAGAACGCATGCGTATATTTTTTTTAAATGTAACCAATCAGGGGATAATTCACGGCATGTGTAACAAGGTAATGTAAGAAAATAACAGATATGCAGCGGCAAGCTTTTGTATCTTCCCGGCTGAGCGCTCATCACTATTGTCTCGGTACAAAGTATGATTGCATCGCACTGAGGTTTGAGCCCGACCGAATACCGGATTGATAGATCCTACTCTTACCTGCTCGGCTATGCAGCAACCCTTTCGTTTTTAATTACTTAAGAGCTTTTAGAGAGCTGAAGGGTTCATCGCAAAAAGTACGTATATCTTTTATCCGACCGATTCGTTTCAATGCACCACTGATCTGGTACATATAACTATATCAATCTGAATAAGTGATAATCAAAAGTCGGAAGAGTAACGCGTAAGGAGGAAAAGTTACCAGCCCAAGTTGAAGATCGTTTCCTTTGTTGCTTTTGTTGCACACGGCGAGCGTTGCCGTGCAGCAAAAGTACTCTTCAAGTTTCTTTGGCAGCAGATAGGCTGATTTCTATTCTGGATCAACCTATTCTTTTCCTTGTTTAGGATACATCCTTTATCGCTTGCAAAAATTTGATGCAGATAATCTTTCTTTTTTGCCAATGGCTAAGCAAATATCAACTCTAAGATTTTTATTTTTTTCAGTTAGCCTCCTTCTGCATCTTTGCCACTATATACAGTCGACCTAAAACTGCTTGTCTCTTTTTGTACATGCGCTGGATTTCGTCCAGTTTCCTCATTGAACATCTTTCGCGAAACTCGGGAATATTCATCGCGTTCCACATTAAATCTCGCAAGGTGCTTTCAAACCGTTTCATAATTTAGGTTTCTTTCAGGTTTAAAACAGAATAGCATGCAGTGTCGTAAATGCGGTTTGTTGGCATCTTCTCTCAAAGACGTTTATCTACAAAACGTCACGAGACATGAATACGTTCAGTATGTTTTATGGAGCAACCAATTTCGACACGAAAAACTCGTTTATACATCTAATGTGTCGAAGAACGATTCTATTGTAGATGAATATTTGAACTATAGGTAATAAAGTTTGTTTTATGATATAAAATCTTAGTCATGAAGAAACTCTAATTAAAGAAATCGATTAGAAAATAATGGAAAATATATTCTAAGTAAAGTTTTGCTTATAACCAAGTTATGGTCCATTAGTCAGTCTACTTATAGAACATACATATAAATTTGTTTATGACCCTTACTCATAAAATACACACACATTAAAGTTATATGTTCCTATTATAACGATTCAAAAAGTGTAAACTAAAGAAGATAAAAAGTATTATATTCGTTGAAGCGGCACATAAAATCTGTACGCACAGGGGATATCTGTACAATCGTGTTCATCTGCTAAACACGTCAGGAATAAAAATAAAAACCCATTCATGTAAGAAATTTTATGAACGCAGGGTTGCAATGCGCGAGTCAACGAAGATTAAAAACGTTGAACGTTGAAGTGAAGGGGGTAAATGATGACATGGTTAAAACAATAAAAATATTGCAAAATTTCTCAGGTATAAAAAATTTCAATAAATCCTGCAAGTGAACTGTTCTAAGCAATTAGTAAAAAGAGTAAGCACTTAGTGCGACATTATACCTAGCAGTGAAGATTAAAGTTTGAATCATTCTGCATAAAAATAAAGTTTCCATTTGTTCGTACAGTAAATGGCTTTAAGCACGTTATAGCATATCATACAAAAAACCTAAAATTCTCCATTCCAAGGTATAGTTAGAAGAGAAACCTGAACATTACACTGTAAAGCAAAATTTTACGTTTAAATATACATAGAAACTAAAGGTCAACTAACGAGTTTAATTGAAATGTAAAATTCGAGTCTTGAACTGGTCTGGACTAGAGAACTTATCTTGAAACTGAGTTAAGTGCTAGTGTATCCAAGTTCTAACTCTTCACCACTTGTGACACAAGGTCAAGTAAACTTGTGCGGTTGTATGTAGCAGCCGGATACACTTACGACACAGCCGCGCTTACACCAATCGATTCAAATCACTTTCTGAACCGATTTAAGCTTATCTCCACATCTCCTTTCCTTGCGTTTAGCCCACGGGCCGCAATTTATGGGATATTTTAATGAAATTTGGTACACGGACGTGTTTTGGCCCAAGAACAAACGCTATTGAAAATGGTCCACCTTTTTGACCACTTCCCACATAGCGCCTTATTTTAAAAAGTCGTTATATGAATAATTGTAGGGCGATGTAGGACACGTAATGGTGGATAGCCCACTGTAGTATCCCTACTAGTTTCAGTTTAAGCGTATATGACCGTTCAAATAAAATACAAGTATCGTCCAAGTTAGCAGATATGTCCACATCTACGCAAGGTTTTCAAGGGCTCTACTCTATTAGCCCTTTGATGACTGCTTTTGAAACGAAAAGCTACAGCCTAAAAACCAATCAGACATACGGATACGGAGACATTATTACACCGCGTTGGAGTCTGATTAAAAAAAATTATTTCGTGAGTTCTCTGACGCGTATTTTTGGAGTTTATAAACGGAAGAGGAAATCCAGTATACTTCTTTCAGGGGATAGAGAATGTAATTTCCATACTATTTCGAAAACTTACCGGAGCTTACCGTAAATTTGGGCAGCTTGATGAGTTACATTCTATTTGCCAAATACTTACCGCTGCCAATAGGAAATCAAAGTTGCAAACGGCGATCTGTTTAAATTTATCCATATCATCGGAACGCATCAAATGATGCCAACTCTCCTCTACGTGACGCATGCTGTAGGAGACATCAGCTGCCATGGGATTATAGAACGTTGACGTATCATCATTCGGATGAGCTGATGATTTGCGGCTGATTGATGAGTTGTCCTTTTCCTTTTCCTTCAACATTTGACTAATGACAGATTTCTTATCATCGCTAACATCCTTTTCGCTGCTTTCGTTATTCTCGTAGCCTTCTTCTTCTTCGTTTTCTTCGTTATCTGTGGGAAAGAATATATTGGAAATCGCACAATGGATGGCGCGTATACTGTCCGTGTCTAAATAACGTTTATGGGTGATTTCGGCGCAGTAGGGATAACGCCATTGTATTAACACCTTGCCTGACATAATTTTATCGCGTAGAAGAAATTCTGCAACGTAGAAAAAGTAAAGAGAGAGTAGCAATTTTGAATTAGATAAAGCCCAACGTTGAAAGACTTTGTGCTCGTCTTACTCATTTCATTGTGTATTTTTTTTAATGATGAAAAGCAAAAGTTTCCGTTTTCTGTCTCTAGCACTGCTTCCGGATCATCGACGGGCATAAGTAATTCCAAAAGTTCGGTCTCAGATAAACCATATTCAGACAAGGTTATATAGCAGGCTAAACGTGAAAAACCCTTCTTACCCCAACGAAGCTCCAACTGAGTAAATTTCTTTTCTAAGAAGTCTTCGAATGACTCTCCATTCAGTTGATGTTTCAATATGGTTTCGTTTTCCTCTGCAGCCAAATTAAACAAATACTCGACTGATTTGAAGCGATCTTTTTGCATAAGCGTAAATTTCAATTGTTCGACTGGGGGAGTCGAACTACAAATCAATTGAACATTCCACGGCAATGAGGTGGGTAGCCAAGACAAGGCTGCCACAATATCACAATCTAATGGATTCAATAAATGCAGATCGTCGATAAACAAGAATAAAATGTGATTGTTCATATCTTCGACTCGTCTTAATAAGTTCTGGAACCAATTATTTATATATAAAGGATCAAAAGAAGCATCTTTGGGTAGATAGCCTTCTGGTATATTATAAATGATTGATATTTGTTGGCATATTACACGCAACAATTCCAAATTATATGCGGATCTTGGTGAAGCCGCAGCGAAACGTATAACCCGATGTACTCGTGTATTGGGTTGAAACCAATTGGGCACATCTTCGTAAAGACTTGTAATTAAAGCACTTTTGCCGCTCCCATGTGCGCCGCATATAAAGTAGGGAGCATGACGGCTACCATTACGAAAGTTGTTCATAAGATTTTGTTTCAAACGGCTCGGCACAGTAGAGGTCACTACAGCTCTGGCCATTTGATGTTCGTGTAGTATACGTAAATGGGTAGAATGCTCATGGAAAATTTCCTACAAAGAAAAAGTTTTTAACAAATTCTTCTTATTTTCATTTTTTTTTTTTTTTTCTTTTCTTATGCTAATTACGATAAAAATGTTAAAGATAGAAGGAAAACTTTTCTGCTTTGCCTTAATTAAATTTTAAAGCTTGAAATTTCTGCCCATATCTTATACACTTTTGTCTTGCTTTAAAACGAGAAACCTCATATACAGGATGGATTGAAGTTTGTTGTTGCTACGAAGATTACTTCAGAATGAATGTGAGAATCCTTTGTGTTGGGAAAAATGTTGTAGATTAAAAATTATGAAAGTTACTGAACAAAAAAATGAAAGGATGGAATATGCAGGTATTATGTTCAAAATCGTAATGGCAGACGAATACACATTCAGTGCAGCCTAAGGTTATATAAGGATTTAACGTTTCAAGAGGTTTATCAGATTTAGATTGCTTAGATTGCTTTATACTGTTTAATATGCTTAGATTTTTGTGATTATCACGCAGTAAACATTTAACTTGTTAAACATTTTTAATGCCTGCAAACATTTATCGAAGAGCCATACATAACATTAACAAGAGCTACCTGTTCTGTCTGTCTGTCTATTCGTCAGTCTGTTTGTTGGACAAATCTTATCAATTGGCATAGTTCTTGTTGTCCTTACCTCAGGCCAACTCGGCTTATGTGCTTGCTCATTCCTAGGCCTCTGCCATATAGGACCTTCGAACACTTTTATTATTAGTTATCTATTACGGAAATTTATCAGGTGTCAAAATAAGTTATGTCATTTAGAAGATATCACATTCAAAGTATTGTTAATCGCCAGCTATATACTTTCTATTAGCAGGGTTAATTCATGGCTTTTGTGTTTACACTAGAAGAAAAGAGAATTTGTTTCGTTTGTCATTTGTTAATTCACTTCATTGTCAAAGTTTATCAATCCATATAGAATAATATATTCAAGCCAGAGATGCCAAAGTGTCCGAATAGGTATAAATTAATATACCGAACATTTTTCCTAATATTTCTTGAAGTAACGAAAATACCTATAATCTTTCCAGTCTACTTGCAAAAGTGCGCATTTCTGGGTCTAGTCATAAGCAATGAAGTGATGGTCGGAAAGACAGTAAACCATTTGTTAAAAGAAGTGTTAACCAATTAACTGTATTGACCTCTTTAGGGATATGCTCGTCGAACACACAACGTGTGTAATATGAATTTAGGTTGTAATGGAATGACTTGACAAAGTAACGAAAAAATTTTCCAAAGCAGATTATTGTGACATTTGACGAGGAAATCCGATAAAGACGTATGGACGGATTGTGACGTATACCTTGGTCATACAGAGTTAAAGGGTTAAATCAGAAGAAGGGATGTTAGGCAATGTTTTGCGAGTCCTTCGTACAATGCTACATGTTTTAAACATTTTTCATTGATGATCGGCTCAAATGCAAAAATTGTTCGCAGCCGTTCATTACTTTAACGCATTACTAGGGTAATTAATTCTAAATAGAAATGGTGAACCTTTCGTCGACCTTTTCGTCGAATTTTATGATTCGCTTGATGTTGTGAGGACTAAGTACGTACCTCATTTAGGCTACACGCTTAGTTTAAGCTAACATAAGTATTCTAAGCTAGTATAAGTATTTTGCGCATTTTGATAAGTCTTTTCAAATAAGAATAAGCTTAGAATCTGTACCCGCTGACTTCATACTGAGATAGAGCAAGATTGACTAATTTCGGACATTATTTCGTTTAAAGAATAGGGAAGAGTTCGTAACTTCCGTTCCTTCTGAGCAAGATAGACGTGAGTCGGGGAAATATCGTAGGAGACCTTTCACTACGATTAATGCTGTAGGTTGAGGCACGTCTGCGATTAAAAATGATGACATACAAGCTAAGTCCGAGTCCGAGTACGAGGATAATATGGCGATGTTAATATGAACAAGTCGAATAATTGCAAAAAAAGTGGGCAATAGAGAGGGGAAATACTGTAAGGAAAATACAATTTGGATTTATGCAACTGAAAATGAATTTATGCGAGGATAGATAGCAAAATATAGTTTTAATGGTACGAAATTGATCGACTTAGATATAAAGAATTAACGTAATAATTGCAAATACATGAATTTATCCCAAATAAATGAGTTCCAAGAGATTAATATCATAAGTACAGTATATAAGTAAAGGAAGAATTTATAACGATAATTATTAAATAAGCAGCTGGTGTTCATTTCATAAGATTATAGCATTTCAAACAGCAGCTCCTGATAAGTCACAATCTTTGATGCAGTCTCAAAAGTAAATAAACTGCCGTGTGAGGAATACTTTGTGTGCCGATGAGCAAAAAAGAAATGGATGGAAAGTAATTCTTCTTTACAACCTTTTCTATAGATTCTTATCACATTTTGATATGCTTTGCCGTATCCATTTTCTATCAGCTTTCAGTTAAAGTCCAGTCGTCATTTCCTCCGAATTAATAAGGAAAAGTAACTGCTCCCGCGTTATTATTTATTTTGTTTGGTCAAGCTCACAAGCCACCTTTCTACGCTTGGTAACGTTGCTATACACTTTACTGTGTTAGGAGGTAATCGGACATATACGATATCATAGTCTATTAGGGTACTTATTAAAAGTAACGATTAATAAGCTATATGCTTAGAAATAATTGCAAAGATAATCTTTGTTAAGAGATATTCTTTCCAAATCCTCTTTAAGTAGCTCAACTGCGATGAACATATTTCCTGGGAAATTAAATGCTTAATAAACAAAAGGAAAAAACGATTACGTTTGCTTGTGTGAGGTTTGCTTCTAAGAAGTCGTTTAGTTCCCAGCTGGAACTTCTTAAACAAACACTTACCGAAAAAGCAAATTCCTGATGTTAAAGGACATTTACGTTGCCACTTAAGAGAATAGAATAAATTTCATAATTTTCGTTGTTATAGTCAAGCATGTATGTATATATATATGTATGTATTTACTTGTGTGTGTGCGTGTGTCTGTATATGTGTGCATGTATATGTGTATATATACCTATGTGGAATACATTTGCTTTTAACTTGAACTGGCATCCTTTTAACAAGAATTTCCTCTTTAAAGGAAATTATATCTAAACATTTGTCAGTGCATATATCCTCATATTTTCTTATATATGCAAGTATATAGATGTATGCATTTGTATACAGTCGAGTGTGTTTGTATGTTGTGTATAACCGCATCTACGTTAGCTACTGTTAAATACAGTTAAAGCCTTGTGAACAAGTATTCTAACCTTGTTAACTTGGGTTTTTTGATGCTTGATGACAGTAAAATGGTTTTTCACTAAATGTCTTGTTTCTTTTCTGCCAGAGAGGCAAACATGCTTTCACTGTTCTCGTATATATATGTCTGTCTGTATAAATTCAATCCGTAAAGTGCTTTACCATATATATACATATATATATATATATATATATATATATATATATATAAAGGTATCTATGTAGATATATCTTTATTTTATCCATCAGGATATTCAACTTGTTGACGTATATGCTTGATACATACACACTATCAAGCGTATATATCAACTAAATCCTCATATGCTTTCTCGTTGTCTCAGCACCGGCGGCGAGAAAGGAAAGGCTACATCTTTGTTTTTTCATCATCACAATCATAATCTTCATTTGCATTATTATTGAATTACATAGAAATGTATACAAAAAACCAAAGTTTTACATATAAATTAAATCAGAATTGAGTTGGTAACTTGCCTCTTCTTCCTTGCCACAAAAAAAAAAAAAAACAAAAAAAAAAAGACTGCAATTCAAATGAATTAATATTACATTTTTGATTGCATACAATTCCCAGCTCTTATGATTTATTTTCGTTTTTACTTACTCTCTAGAAGAAATGATATTTGCATTTCTAACTATCATTGTAGGATAAATAAATTTGTTTCCCCCTGCACCCCTTCCCCCCTACCTCTCATCGGTCGCACCTTCCTCCTTTTTCTCACGTTCTTTCTATTTCTTGTTTTCTACATTTTTTTAGTTTCAATTTTTTTTTTTTTTTGCATATACCTTCTCAAGTGTACTTGAAATCGTTACGTGTTGCAATAATTCTAGGAAATAATAATTTTATACGTTTTTTGAATTCGCTTCAACGATTTGTGAATACGCCTTTTTTCAATGAGTGGATGAATGAATGTATGTATGTGCGCCAGAATGTCTGTCGAGTGCATAAACGTCTACTTTGGTTGTCGTAAATGTGTGTTCGACTTCTACATTTCAATGTAATGGAATTGAGGTCATAATATTATGATATAATAATGTTTTGTACGCGTCTTTTACCTTTTTTTCACCTTTAGTTATAGGTTACACTTTAAAAAAAAAAGAAAGCGAAAATTTCAATTTACGTTACTGCTGCTGTTGCTTATAAAAAAATTTGCTTTGAATTTTGTCTTTTCTAAGGGATTGAATTAGTTGTTGATACGATAGGCATTGTCTAAAAGCAGGTACTGCGACGGATATATAAATATATTATCGAGGTTCAAGGAGGTCATATTTGAAGTCTTTGAAGATTATATATCAAGTTAGTATTCGCGGGTGCAATTCTCAGCTTGATGGAGCTTACTTAGTCCCAGCTAGATTTAGTGCTCAGTCGGTAGAGGCATAACACTTACTGACAAGGCTCGCATTTACTACTCTGCCGACATTCCCTATATCTTTCTCAGTCCTCGCTTCTTTTCGCTTGTCAATGTGTTGCACGCCTAGGAAACATACTCTAAGTGATTGGTTATATTATAGTTATACAAAAAAAAAATATTAGCTCATATTCCCTATATATCGGGCAACATCCACCTGAATGTCTCAAAGAGATATGTGCCTAAAAGGTCACATTTCAGCTTACATTGTCTGTGAAGATAGTCTTCTAATTTTTTGTTCGTGTAAAAATTTACATTGATTTGAACATGAGTGAAATATCTGAAGGAATACACTGTGTACTATATGCTTTTTTACTGTAAAAAAGGCGTAGCAAAAAAAAAATTGTGTGTGTTGTATCGTGCGAATGCTGTGAGTGGACGAAGGACCAAGGTTTGCTCGACTACGTGCCGGAAATTTCGATGGTGGAGCAAGACCGGCACGTCAGGAAATAGCGGAGTCACTGAACATCAGTGACATGACAGTTTGAAATCATTTGAAAAGTGCGGACTACAAGAAGAAGCTCGAAGCCGCGTAGACTTTTCAATACGAACTAATATTTACCGGGCTTGAAAGAAGAAAAGTTATATGCAGATAAGACTTATTGTGTACTTCGCTGGCACTATTTTCGAGTTCGTCTCGCTTCTTGTTAAATGATTCATAATATCGCCCGTCGTGATGGCTTAAAGTAAATGAAGTACATTTTGAGATTTAAATATTATCTCTTAGATGCATTTTTCAATGTATTTTGTTTAATGGGCAAGTAGATCGCCTTTCATATTTAATTTGAGGCAAAATTTCGACACAACCCTTAATATGCCAGATGAAGCGAATATAATAACAATAAAAGTGATGTATGTATTATATATTAAAAGGTTCGCTTAAAGCCGATTACAACGCTTTCTCTTTCTTGATTGTTGTTGTTGTTCTTATTTGTTTGGGTTACTTTTTTGAATCGATTTCAATGGTCCATACCGAGCGTATGAGTAATTTGTTATGTTATGGTATACAATTTATCTTCACATGTACACATATAAATATGCATAACTCATGTGCCCGGAATACTTATTTTCGCTTGCAAATACACATTCCCGTATATACATATATATATATATATATATATATATATAAAAGGAGAAGAAAAAAGAAAAACAAATATTGCAGTTTTCTCTTTTGTTCGTTCTACTTACGGCTACGAAGCATTAAGTTGTAAAATAAAAAGTTTGGTGCAATCACCCTTAGGGGTTACTATACTTTTTTTTTGTAAATTTTACCTTCACCTAGGTATTTTATATGTAAAAATGGCTACACGCGACCAGATTGAATGGAAGAAAAAAGAGAGATGAACGAATATAAATAACAAAAATATGCAAACAGTTTGTTGTGTTGAAAAGTGGAAAAAACAAAAAAAAAAAATAAAAAAATTGATGGTTGAGATGAAAACTGGTATGTGTTTACGGTCATTTACATACCTATACATCTATATACATACAATATGTATATATATAAGTGCGGATGTTTGAGCGTGTATGGGTGTATGTGTTTGTTTTCATAAAAATTTGCGGTAAATTTGGCAATTTCATGCAAGTGTGAATGTCGGAACACCATTGCTTTCCTAACCTATACGCAGATGACAAGTAAAAGTTTATCAACTTAAACCTAAGTTTTTTAAAGCTGAGTCATTTAATTAATTTAACGCGTTTCGTAAATTGATAAAGTAACACTTACTTGTACAGTCTTTTTTCGACCTTTGATAACATCTGGATCGTTTGCTATATGCTCTTCGATAAGATTACGCAACTTATCGGTGATTTTATTTTTAAATTTACTTAAATACGATTCATGTTCTTCCTTATCCGGATCAATAATTGTCTCTTCGCAATTACCTGATACCCTGAGGTGAAAAGTTGAAATAAAAGAATATTTAAATGAGTTTTTCAATCACGATTTCCAAGAATGACATGATAAGAACAGAATAAGAAAGATAATAATAATAATAATAATAATAATAACAATGATAAGAATAAAGAAAACATTTTTTTTTACTTACACCAATGTTGTGTAATTGTCTGTTGATAAATTCATGGTTAATTGATCCTTCAATTTTCTTAAACGCTCATTGCCCTCGGCATCTTTTGCGCTCAATTGGGCCGACCATTCACGATAGACTGCCAGTATTTTATCATTGGAAAGTTCTATGATAACAACAGCGATTGCAAAAGCAAGAAAGAAAGGAAAAAAGCAAAAAAAAAAAAAAAAAAAAAATAAATAAATAATTAAATTAAACATCTTTCTTTATTTCTGTGCCGTTTGGTCAGCTACCTTCTATATGAAGTAAAATGTTTTTTCACTTCTTTCTCACTTTTTTTTTTTTTTTTTTTTTTTTTTAATTTTTTATACCTACCCAAAGCTTTTAGTATTTCACGTTCGATTTGTGTCAGACGTAATTTTTGTAAACGTTGCTGCATTTCTCCTGTTATGGTTATTGCTCCTGCTGCTGCTGCTGCTGTTGCAGTCGATGATGTCGCTAGTGCACGTTGTAAGCATTTATCAATAATGCCACGTAATTGCACATATTCATCATGCCATTTTTCCACTACCATATTACTGTCGTTCAGTTTTACGGTTATTATTATTATTATTGTTGTTGTTGTTGTTGTTGTTGTTGACGTTGTCGTTGGTTTGATTGGTCCCATGTTATGTTAGTTGATGATAATATGTAAAAAACAGCTCACGTCAGCATAATGTCAGTTACATTAATAAAATAAAATAAGATGTATAAGGCAAACCGGCCAGAAAAAAGAAAAAAATGTATATAATAGAAAAATTACAAGAGAATTAAAAAGTTTTTTATTTAATTCATTTATCTCCCTTTTTTTTTGCTCTCTATCTCTTTCTCTCTCTCTCTCTCTCTCTGTCTCTCTGCCGCTCCTTTCCTCTTTGTACTCAACTGATTTGTTGATGTTTTTTAATCATGTAATGAAATGTAATAACCGCACAGAAAAGAGGAAATTGATTAAAAAAGGAGACCGAGAGCGCTATCGTATGAGTATTGTATTACAATATAACTTTATTAACGCTATGCATTTAATATGCTATGTGAAATAAATTTAATTAAATTTTGTATCTTCGAGCAACAGACATGGTCGATTAATTTTGCCGTTCGGAAGCAAGTTTGCAGGATTTCTTGACTATTGTAGCCTACACCTCTTGCATTAAGCGCATATTACGTTTGTGTCGTGATATATAATGCCAACGGGGACTTGAAATGGACGCAGCTTTTATAATAATAATAATCAATTTCTGAAGTGACTTAAGCATATCAGCCCCCCCCCCCTCCCCCCCCATCTGTTTGATATCTGTTCATGAAATATTTCATTTCACATACACAATGACAAGTTCAGAGATGTTTTAATCAAATTTGGTACTAAGTATAAAGGCTACTGGAAATGGATGGCGTTGAAACTTTTTTAAGGCAATTTCCTTTTAAGGAAGCAGCCACAGCACTGTATCGCTGCCAGGGCAAACTGATATATTCCTATACATATTCATATCGCATGTATTCATTTATGTATATATATATATATGTATATGTTTTCATATTGTAAACTAGGTAAGGTTTGTATAGGTATAGGGATATTCGCACGTTTTATTTATACGAGCCGATAGCAATAAAAATAGAAAGCAATATACGATCGTTACTTCAGTTGTTCAGTAGGAGCCAAAGCGACGGTTAGTTATAAACTCTTATACTTTTAGGTATTCCGTTCGTTGATTGTCCGTCCGGAACGTGGTGCTCTAGGTAACCCGTTGGCCTTGTATCATTACCTTATAGTCTCCCGACCAGAAAGAATAGCCTAGCTGGGTAAGTGTAATGATTAACAGTGTGTGCCCTGCCCGTCCGGAACGGAGTCCTTATGATGACTTGGTACGCTTGCATTATTATCTTATAGATTCTCAGTCCGAAAGGACACCTTAGAAAACCCCAGTCCTATTAGATTTCTCCTGGCTAGCTGCTGCACCCGGTGGCCTATAAATTACAGATCAACGGCAATAATTTTTTCGAGAATTACAAAAAATTCGAGCTCGATTACAGGCGAATAACATTTCTAACTCCGGTTGCACACTATCATGGTTGCCGTTAGCACATGTCGTCGGAAATTGTTCTCGGTAAACTCGCAAGTGCGTTATAAGATAATTGGCCCCAAATCGTCATTCGGTGAACTCCTCACTCAGTCTTCGGAGATCATACCATTAGCCCACTTATGCCCTCATCAAATTGCATCAAAATACATAACTACAAGCTGTAACCAAAATACGAAACTTCCGTTCATTTGAACAATAATTTTTTGAATTTCTTTCGCTGGAGAGCCATGGGCTACACCCGAACTATGTATACCCCATTACGTCCTTTATAAAAATTTAATTTAAACAAGTGAAGACCTTAATATAGTTATTCATATCAGTAACTTTTCAGAGAAAGGCGTTACATAGGAAGTTGTAGAAAAAGTATTCCGATCCGAACCAAAACATATCGATGTACCAAATTTCACCAAAGTATGTCAAAAGTTAGGACCTGCGTGTTCAACGTAAGAATAATAGACCGACAGAGGGGCAGACAAGCTTAGATTGATTCAGTATGACTTCTTATATAATAAGGGACGAAGCTATCTGAAGTGCTCCTGAGTGTTGTATACATCCGCGTAAGCTTGATAAGTCTTTGCGGCCACATTGATGTAGGGTATAAAAAGTCGTTATATGAAAAAAAAACTTTCCATTTTTAGTACTTCACGACAAAAATCGCCCAAAATCGCGCCACTATGGTAAAATGGAAATTGAAAATTTTGGATGAAATGCAACCATTTTTTGAACCCTCTACAATATCAAGATTTTCTTGTAAAAATTAAAATATTTTGTGGCAAAAAAAGTAATTTCTAATATAATTTATGATAAAGTTGATGCAAAATATCATTAGGAAGAAGCAAGAAAGGGAAAGAATAAGTAGGCAGGACCAGGTAAAAATGGTCGAACCCTAATAGGTATATACCTAATCGGTAAGTAAGTGTCGGTGCCTTCACCGACTAAGCGCGCACTGCATCTATGATCAAGTAAGGTTAAGCCGCACTGAGATCTGAATCCCCGACTATTTTCGACTCGTCTATGCTACAACGAAGATACTGACAGCAAATTGAGTGGATATGTTAGTTAAGATATCGAAAATTTAAAAAAAAATCCAGCGCGATTTATAAGGAAACTACCCTCTCACTATCTTCCTCACTTTTTTTTTGTTGTTGCTGTAATATTTCCGGTGTTTAGTAGCTGTTTGTGCTTTTTTTTTTATTACATATTCAATTTGCAATCTATTTAAAAAGATGGTAAGCAAATTTTATGACAACAAGAGGAAAATAACTGAAGTTGTTGAGGTCATCCAACTTATTATCTATAAAAATGTAGAGATATGGCGCTTAAAAATTAAATTAAAAGTAAAAAATGATATAAATTCGGAAAATTCATTAAAATAATTTAAGGAACAAATTTGATGTCTTACTTGCTTACTTGGATCGAATAATAGATCCATTTTTTGATTCATTTCGTTTCATTATAATTTTATGTTTAATCATTAACTAATAAAATTAATGGGATTTTTTCTCAACAATTTTGTTTTGTTTTAATCCTGATTTTCCATGAATGCACACATCGTCGTTAATCGATTCTGAGAACAATTTAATTGAAACTAAAAATATTTTATCAACAGCTAAAGCGCTTATTGAACGATAATAACGCTTATATTGACAATGAAGTTAAATAGAAAAAGAATTTTCTCTGTCTAAAGAGAAATTGTCGTTAATGTCATCATGCTTATTAAAGTATTCAGAAGCATGTGTGCGTTGTCGTCCGGTATATAATCACATATCCCATTACGTGTATTGAATTGCGTATTAAACATATCCCTATGTATATGCATAGCAGATAGTTTAAATATTTAAAACGCCAGTCAATAGAGATGTTGGTGGTAAAAGTGAACGTTCAACAAGATTGAATTACGTTCACTTATGGTGGTATTGCGGAATGTTAAGAGAATTTTGTGTTTTTTTTTTTTTTTTTTAAATCTTAATCAATATTTTCATGGCTCAACTTATTTTATTAATTGTAGAAAGCATTTATCTTCTAGTTAGGGGATACATATGCATTTGCTCATCTTCTGCCGTTACATGCTTTCTTATTATTATCGACCTTGAATACTTGAATACTTAAAAACTTGTCTATTATCGTGTTTCATTACGCGCACGATTTAATTCTATTGGGGAGAATATCGATATTAATTTGTCTAAGGGCAATTTTTATAATAACGTATTAAAGGCGACGTAAATGTTTTCGTTCTTCGGTGGGTGTGTGACGGAAACGTATCAATTTATTAAACATTTTCGTTTCTTACAGGGAGACAAGCAAAATAATATCCGAAAAGCTTATAAATTAATATTTGCTTCACAGTTCAGGATCAAATATAAAGTAATTGCAAAGGAAACGTATCTCTCATACGCGAACTTGTTTTATTGCGTATTATCGAGAGTAGGGAATAGCGATTTTTTTCATCAACGGGTCAATTTTAACTTTCATATCATTGGCGGGATGGGATCTACAGCAAATTGGATAGACTTTCGAGAAGATAATAATTAAAATTTATAATGAAAATGAAACTTCAGTGTGATGGGTAAAACGAGGGAATGCCTTTAATTTGTCATTTCTAGTAGTTATTCGAAGATTGTTTTTAACTTTTCGAATGTTTGTGTGCCTCATCTTCGATATTCGTAAGGAAGTATTCCAACTATCATTAAAGATGCATTTACCTTCTTTCTAAATCTCTCAAGACCTAATGACAAAAAGAGGCACCCAAACACTTGTCGTATGTGATAGCGGCACATCCGAGCCAGTAATGTAAGCAGATTTAATCAATCCAAGTGCTAGCCAATTGAATTATTTGAAATTTTAATAAAGCGGGCCGGACGCAGGGTTGCCAGATGTCCATGCCAGCTCCGCAACAGCTTTGGACCCACCTTTTATTATACCGAGTCTGTCCGTCTGTCTCATATTTTTATGTGCATCTTGAGGAAATTTTGTACACCTACAAGTCTTTAGCTCGAGGGCGAACGCTATTAATAATGTTTCGGATTCCATGACTTTTTCCATCATTGGCCATAAAAAGCCTTATTTTGAAAAATCATTTAACGAATATACTGTATTAAGCGAAATGATGTGTGTGTGTGTGTGGTGTTTAATGGCGGGCCATTGCCCATTATGACGTTTTCGTTGACGTTAAGCTCATAGTATTCTAAAGCAATGTTTACATTTCATTTTTAAATATGCATACGTCCTTTATCTACTCATACATGTATTTGCAAATATTATGCATTCACCATTTAAAAATTTGCAATTAAGTAAACTCGACTATAAATGTAAAATATTTTATATTTAGTTAATGTGCTCGGCCGAAATTTCTGCGTTCTTAATGTTTAAATATTTAATTAAAAGCAAAATTCTTTCTGTTTTCTCTTCCCTCTCTCTCACCACGTTATTTACTTACCGATAATCTTGCTTAAGTACATATTGTTGTTGTAGATGACTTTGTCGAAAATTTTCATTATGTTCGCTTACGGTTGACGTTGTCGTTGTTGTTGTTGTTGTTGTTGTTGTTATTATTTCATCTGTCATATCCCGTTTAGAGAACCACTTATCAAGTATCTGGCGTTCCTCCTCCGTCATTAACTGGGTGGTGTCTGAGGTAATGAGTTCATAAATATCATTATCGATGTGTGTGGGTAATGGCATATAACCAATCCTATTGCCAATTAAAGCCTAATTAACGATACATAATAACAATATTAGCGGTAAAGCGGAAAATAGCCTCATTATATGCATACACATTATGATACTCGATTACGTAGATAATCTTACCAAGAAGAACACACTTTTCGAATTCTGATGGCAAAGTTCAATTTCGTGTAGATAATCATGCATTATGTAAGGATCCTTTTCAACCTGCGATATATCCAGGGGACCGGTACCGAAATGCATGTCAACGATTTCAATCTGCCAGATACAATAAAAATTTGTTAATTATATAAAAATATTGTTTTTTTTTTTGTTTTTTATTTAAAAAAAAAAATAAATAAAAAATACCATTGCATTAATACCTCAATTTGACGATCATCGTAGAGGGATTGTAATTCGGGTCCTACCAATTCCAATAGCATACGACGCTCTTGACAGAAATCTGTTAAATGTTAAATAATTTTTTTATTTTGTTTTATTTTTAATTTTCCATTACTTGAACTGTGTAACACACAGTAGCACACAGTTAGTTAATTATTTACGTTCGGCCGACTTACCTTGTTTTAAACTTGATACATAGATTTTGATAAGCAATGGCTTCGGTAGACGTGTACTTTGGCTTGTTACACCCCTGAGGGCATTCAATATACCCTCGTCTACAGGCACGGCCATGTTATTATAATTATTGCTGTTGACAGTGTAGTTACAATGGTTTCCAATTTTCTCTTAATACTTGGCTCTTGGCTTATTTTTGTGTTTTTCCTTTTATTTGATTAAAAATGTGTACTTGCACTTTACTCTTCTTGTGTTTGTTTGTTGGTATGACTTTTCACTCTAATGTTAATATAACTTTTGTTTTTTTTTTATGTTTTATATTTAATACTTCTTTTTTTGTTTTCCCCTGACTGCAGTTGTAGGCAACATCGTCTGTTCGAGTATCATATAGTTTTCCGGTTGTTTTCTTTTTCCTTTTTAAATTTTTACTTTATCTACTGTTGTATTCATTAGACTTTTGTGAAGAAAAAAAACTCTAAGAAAAAAAAATTAAACAACGAAAAAAGAAGATAAGTATTTTGATGAATAGTATTTTGTAAGGATTTTGTATTTTTTCAATCGAACTGGAATAACGACACATACATGACTATTAAAATAAAATGATTTCATCCAGAGAAAATGAGAATTAAAATTTTAAACATTTTCAAGTCTGAGTGTGGCTCTGTTTTTTTTTTTTTTTTAAATTTGCATTAAGAAAAATATATTTATTTCTTCTCCTTAAACCGTAAAACTTTTCCGTTTCGTTCATGACAATCATGACAGTTCTTCAACGAAAATGTTAATAGGTGCTTGCGTGTATTTACATCAGTAGCATCTATTGGTGCAAAATCACAAAGTAATGCTGACTATCAATGTAAACAATGGTTAAATTCGATGATTTTGCATTTTCTCTGCATAAAAGAAGGAATCTTCTGCCTAAGCCCGCCAAACACTTTCAGAAGTTCATGATGATGCTGCTCCATCATATCCCCTATCCTTTTGATCTCAATGACTAAGAACGCCCTTGAGGATAAAAAAAAGTTCTAAGACAATGAATTACAAGACTTACTGGACGAAGACCCATACTCTCTCTCTCTCTCTCTCTCTCTCTCAAATTCTCAAACACCTTTCGAATTGTTTAGCAGTCGATGTTTCAACTCCTTCTGGACGTTTACATGCGATAGAAAAGATCGAAAAGAAGATCGAAAAGAAGCTGCCATACGAATTGACTGAAAATGTCATTTTGAACCGTTTCAACGGCGAATAGTGAATCTACTACGACAATCCAAAGCTCAAAAAGTGTTGGATTACTCCAGGAGGGCCGACATCGAAATGGAATACTCCTGACCATAAAGTTTTGCTGCGGATATGGTGGAATCAGCTCCCAGTACGTCCGTACAAACTTTATTTTCTCTATACCACAAGTGTGTGGTAAGGTATGGGGTGTAATTTAAGGCAATCAGTCCAATTGTTTAAACTGACTGAATAAATTGTTGTTATAAAATTTTGATTTCAAATTTCTTTTTTGTTCCATCTATTAGTTTGGTGAGTAGTAACTTTTACTTAGTAAAGTTTATGGAATAATTAACTTAAGAACGGTTTCCATTTATTGTCTTAAATTATAAATTTCTAAATCATATTACGATACATTATGAATGTATGTGTATTTATTTGTATAAATATGTGTATAGTATTTATTCAAGTACTGTCTAAGGTTAATATGGCAATCAGATTTACAATCATACAACAATGTCTTCAAAATAAATGCAAGCGATTGCAAAGAGCAAGTAGACCGAGAGACAGACCGGTGACTATTATAAGCGTTATTGTGGAATTAAATGAAAACGTAGCTTACACAATATATTAATTGTATGTATATATAATAAATCTATAGTTGGCTTCGAATGACATGGATGTGGATATTGCTGTCACAGACTTATCCATGTGTATGTAAAGTAAATGTTTATTGTATTTTAAATTAAGGCTGATGGTGTTATGCAATAAGAGAAACCAACAGTAAGGCAAGAAATACCGTAAACACATGACTTGAAAATTGGAAACATTATGAACATGCAAAAAGGTTAAAGTTCAAATTCATTTGATCTTTTTCATATTAGCTCAAGTGAATGAAAACATACTCTAAGCAGTTAATGAAAACATATTCATAAAGAGGAAAATTTTTGTTATAGCTCCAGCAATACGGAGAGTATTAAAAAGAGTTTTTCAATTTTATAGATCTAAAATTTATAAAAAAAATCCACTACTCTTAGAAGGTTCATTAGTGGAGATTTTTTCCATGGCAACACTACGGTAGCTAAAGTTTTCACTGAGAGTCACTTGTTAAAATAATTTAAAAATATGCGAATATAATGACAATTAAGTGGGATGTTGCTTACTCTTGTACATTTTTAATGAAACATACAAACAGATACGTATTGCATTGTATCCTGAAATTTTTTACTCACTCTTGCAAATTTTATTAGATTGCTTTTTATTCATCTCTCTCTCTCTCTCTCTCTCTCTCTTTCTCTTTCTCTCTCTCTAATCAATGAATATTAAATGATTTATATATAAATTTAATTACGAAATTTTTAGGAAACTTTTTTAGAGCAAATAGCATGAACACAATGCATATATAATACCCTACCCTGTGGCCTGAGGATATAATAAGTTTCTGTGGGAATAAATGCAGCATCGAGAAGAACTGGAGATAGAACCTCCTCTTATTTTATCGATCGATTCAGAAAATGATTCAGAATCGGTGTAAGCTTGTCTGTCCGCATGTCCGTCTTGTGTTTTTATTTAATGGTTTTGCCCAAGTACGAGTGCTATTGAAAATGATTCGGATCGTATCACTTTTTCGACCACTTCCCATATAATACCTTATTGTAGCCTACAACACATGTTGTACGACGATGTATTAGGCTTGTGCGGATATATGGTACACTCAGAATACATATCCACCTTTTATTAAGCCGTGTATTTTGCCGGTGATCAATCGAAACTTCTCTGTCCCTCTGTCCGTCTTATTTTTTGTGTTCAAGTTAAAGCCGGCAAACTTTTAATATCTATATATATATGTATTATCTATATATATCTAGTAAATAAACTTACAAAGTATGGATTAATGGGCTATTGGACCTGCGACTATTGAACTGTTAGTGGCGAACATTTGACTACTAGCCTACTCATGCCTCACGCCTACACTCTAACATATATTGATGGAATTTTGTACCATGCCCTTTGTAACTGGTCTTAGCCCAAGTCCGAAGGCCATTGAAACTGGTAGGGGTGGGGCTACTTTTTCGACCACTTCCCATATAAAGGGTTCGAAAGTCGTCATATAAATAAATGTAGGATTATGTAAGGTATTTAATGGTGGGTTGTGGCCCACTATAGTGTTTTTTACTTGTTTCTTTTACTTCTAAAGGTAGGAAAAATTTATTCGCCTTCAAGGAGAACTTGAATAAACATTTGCTCTGAATTTAACGCATCTTGGTTTAGCACCGCGTTCACAGTGTGTTAAATATAAATTTTACACACACTTATGCAAATAATTTACCTTGTGAAATGTACACATTTGTAGAGCACACACATCGTATAATTGCGAGAAAATTTAAATTGGTACCCATTACAGGTTGTTATGCTTTATTGACAAAATAATTTTCGAATTTGCAAATTCGCTTGAACGTCATGCTGATCAAGAATTTATGCATGCGCCGCCTTAGGTGGCTTCGGTTGCATATAACAAACAAATAGCATAATTAGTATGCTGCCTTTCTCGCTAATGCGTATAAAAAGCAATTATCCCCTTTTCCAATTAGTATTGTGTCAAAATATTCTTTAATAAATTTTTAATCGATTTGAAACGCAAACGAAAAATTAATTTTTAATAAATGTTGGGGGAAAAGTGCATACATTTGTTTATATCAATTATATTTTAATAGCTTCAGGCTTCATTGATTACTTGATTACATGTTAAATGTCTATTAATAATGAAAAACAAAAAAAAGAATAATAATTTGTACGATTTAAAAAGAAAAAAAGAACAAAAACCTGTTAGCTGAATATCGATATTTCATGTGACGCTTCACTTTGCAAACTCAAGTTTAGTTTTTGTTTAAGTTGTGCTAAAAGGTGTCCATGTTCAAGCGCTCTATCAAACTAACGACTAAGGCCTACAAAGGCTTATTGCAAGTTTTTGTCGTGTATGTGTATACACAGACGCACACACACACACATACACACGCATGTTTTTTAGAAATGCATTGCAGGCATTCGCAAAATTGTCACAGCTTGATTTTTATCAACTTATAGCGCCCTCCGAAGAATGGGGAGTATTTTCGTTTTGTCAATGCGCTAGCAACGCAGAGATCTAAATATTCTTGATTAGCATCAAGTTCTGATACGATTTAAGCATGTTTCTTTGCTTGTCTATCCGTCGGTCCATCCGCCGATAAATGTAATATTTTTTGTAAGTACTCTTCTTCTCGCAAAAAGGAAGCTACCAAGTTTGGCAGAGATGTTGCAAGTTCTTGCATGCAGGTTGCCATTGAAAACGGCCGAAATTGAGCAAAGAATTCGTCCTCAGTACAAAGCAAACTGAGATCACCTCATCTTGCAAAAGCCAAAAAAAAAACCTCACGAATTACATAAAATAGAGCACTTGAACGATATCGGAAAAAATCGTCTCACCCAATATTATAGTGTGTAAAAGACAAATCCAGAGATAAAGTACATAAAGTACATATATTTATGGTCAATGCTAAATTAGTCTGTCCATCTGTCCACCTACCATTCTTTGTAATATTTGTGGCAAACACACCCCTGTCGACTTAGAAATTTGACAAAATCATAGGAAATTCTTGCACACAACTCTGTTCAAGGACACCTTTACAGTGCAATATAAACTCAAAGTACTGTTGCTCTCTAAGTTTTTATTTATTGCTCATAAACTAGTATAGGCACACGATAGAAACTTCCTCGTGTATCTTACAAAAATCAGTTACGCCCTACCCCAAGTTATGGGAAATGGAAATTTAGTTTTTCCCTTTTCTAGCCTTTTTTTTAGGATAAAGGAGGTGGGTATGAAAAATTCGTTGCAGCCGAATAAAATTTTCTTACATGTTTCCATTAAATAAATTTGTTCGCTAATATTTTGTTTTTCCTTTTTGGGTAAATTTTTGCGGGAAAAATGGACAAAATTGAAATGAACGCTAGCGAACATGCATGAATGCATAAACGCGATATTTATTAATTTATTATAATTGTTTTTTTTTTTTTTTTTTTTTTTTTGTAATGTGAATTAGTTTTCATGTACGAAAATTTAATAAGCAGCATTTAGTAAGAGTGCGCGAATGCAATGTATGTATATGTACACCTGAGGTCACACAAGTGTGCATAAATCAGAGGAGGTCGAATTGAATACCATATGAAGCTAAGGGATGGTTAGAAATAATGGATAAAGTGGTGGATTTTTTTAAATTTCGTCTAAAT